ATTTTAAGACCTTGAGTGCTGGTCTGGCCAGGACTCGAACTATCGACCTTGATCTCCTGCACAACAGTCCGGTGCTCTAACCAACTGAGCTAACCGGGAGGCAGTAATTAATTCATACTGGTTCTTAGCCTGAGCTCATAACTCCCAGAAGGGTTAGGGTTTCATGTGACTCTCCTTACAAATGCATTAACCAGCAATGGGGTGGGGAGAATATTCAATTTTATCAGTTGGAGGATGCTATCTTGATCTGACACCAAATTCTCACAAAAAGCAAACGAATAGCAGTTAGAAGGAATTATCAGGAATTCGATACCATGATACATGTATTTACTTGATTTAATCCCACAGCCTTGTAACCCACATTCAAAATCTTGTTTCACAAATCACTGACAACATTTTTTTTAAATAAGTATTTTGTAACCATCATGTAAAATAGAATTAAGTTACCTCGCTTTTTTCTATATAAAATTTTCAAGGATGATTAAAGGTAGTTTACTGAGATAGCTACAGTAACTGCTATAATCTATAAGTAAAGACCATGCTCTTCTACCAGTATGTAGCATTTATTTGAGCAAAGAAATTTTTGGAGATTATGCTTCTGTTTTTGGTGTTTACTGCAACTAAGGAGGGCACTCCATGTACATGGCTAAAGAGGTAATTCTTTCAGCTATTCTTGTTTTCAGTTCAACTCCACACACTGTGGCACCAGGCTGCTTAGCACATCCCCGGGATCCTCCCACCCAGGCTCTTCTCTGCTCCATGATAACCAAGAGACAAAAGGTGCCTTGCACGTAATATACATGATAAATTTTTCCAGACCTCACTGATATACATCATTACAAGGCTGTGCTCTAAGAAAAAATGAAGGGAGCTCAGTGCCCTAGCTGAACCTGTGAAATCCAGGGTGCCCACTGTATGCTTCCTATGAAAAAACTAAGATTCCTGAGTTGCCCAAGAGCAAAAGTATGGTGCCAGGGGCCACCGGGCACTACCAGAACACAGCCCTGATTATTGTCTCTGATATTCCACTGATATGTATACCTCCTAACATCTTGAACTTGAGATCCCATCTCTGGGTGTGGACCTGTTTCGGTGTATCACAGACAGTTATTTTGCCTTAGATCTCACTTTCAAGGCAAAGAGAAAAAAAAAGTTTACTTATTATAAGTGTCACAGTGACAAGAAGCATCAAACAAACAATCAAGTATTTCAAAATTTATTTTAAAACAAGTCACCACTATCAGATGATTTGCCAATGCTTTTAAGTAATTTTTTGCCATATTTGAGAGGTAAATCTCATTGCTATATGATAAGTACTATTTTAACTTGTTTTCTTTTCTGTACACCATATTTTTTGTTATTGACTTATACACTGTTTTTCATCTCTTAGGAAAGCCTAATGGATTTGTCAAGACAGTTACAAGATGCTTTGACAAAAGAATCACTGATACAAAAGAACAAAAGTGTTCAGAATAAAATCACAACAGAACAGCTCATGTCCATGTCAGAACATTTTAGGTATATCTGCATCATGCGTGTTTATACTGAAATTTAATACCTACCAGGGCTCAACACCAAGGGTAGCCACAGACTAGTAGAAATTCAGTTTTGGCTAGTGGTCTTCAATTTCCAATTACCAGTTGCTAGTAAACAAACTGAAATTGTTGTAACATCTAAGTTGTCACTAGTCACTTGGCTAGTAAGTTGAAAAGTTAGCATTGAGTCCTGCTTACTCTCAAGATTGCAATTTTATTTTGTAAGAGACTTTTAGTCTCTTAAGTGAACGTAAATACTCTTCTTCCTCTTTTAGAGGTCAGCCAAAGTGTCTACAAAGACATGGAGCACTGCTACAGTTGGTCAGAGCTACAATTACAGCATTGAAGAATGAACACATTCCACAAATGGAACACTTGCAAGCTATTGAAAAAGTGAGTTTTCAATAAATTATTCTGACTTGCAATTCTTAGTGCCAATCAGTTAAGACACAAACATTATAAGTTTTGTTTTTATTAGCATCATCCATGTTGTACTTGTCTTGTAAATCTTCTAACTGACTTACTGTCAGATGGTCCTTACAATTTACTCATGCTCATTTATTGAACTGGTTGGAAATAACACATTTAAAGGTGTAATTTTGATCTCCAAAAATTGGCCCCTGTGTTCTTGTGATAATAAAATAAAATTAAGGATGAGTTACTTGCCAGAACAGAGCATTGTGCTAGGATTGCAAGGTCATGGGATGAAATCCTTGCTCCTTTTTTTAGTTGCAAGAAGTTGAGAAACTCTATGACAAACATGATCATCTCATAATTGAAATTGAGTTATTACTGTTTGCCTTAATCCTCTCAGTTCTTTAATTTCTTAAGGCAGTATGAAGTTTGAAATATACTGAACAGTAATTTAAAATAACACCAGCCAATGCTTGGCCTCAGTTCATTTGGCCCAATGTATAATTCATTAGCATTAAAGGTGCAATTACTAAATTGTATTTCATGGGCTTCATTCTCAGAGATTGACTCCTTTTTTTTTCAATTTAAAGGGTTTAGTTCTCCACATTGGAGAACATGGACCTCAAAGTGCTTTGTCAGAGGTGATAAGTGCATTACAGTCAGATAGTAGACAGAGGTGTGTGTTTAAGCTCTTCCTCTTTCATTTTCAAATATGTCTCATCCGTTTGATTTCTGCACAGTCCTTCATGTTGCATTATTCTTATGGATTTTACACATACCTGTTTATCTGAACTGTGGAAGCCAAGGTAGATGTAAGTGACCAAGTTGCAGTTGGTTTTTGCTTAGTTTCTGATTTGTCGAGAAGGTAGTAAAGAGTACGTTTGATAGACAAATAGAAACGTAAATTCCTAGGTGGAATCAATCCTAGACTTCTTTTGCCTTGCAAATTCCACACCACTACCCATTGTGTAGTGGTCTTAAGTTCAAACACTTGTCTTGTAGCACCACCCCCAAAGCATACTTGAACCTAGTTCTTCCTTCTTTTCTGTGAAGTTTTAGTTGGTTATGCCATATATTTTTAAGGTGTGTTAAGGCTTTATTATAACCTTGGGGATAAGATAGACTATAGCAAATGTTAACAGGCATGAAGCAGAAGGCATGATTATAAACTGTCTTGTTTTGTATTTGTTTACAGATTTGTGGTTGTGGAAGATATTCTGCTTGTCCTGGTGTTCCTGTACTCACTAACTGGTGGTCAGGATTGCTTTAACTCGCCCATGGAAGAAGAACAAATCAAAGTATGTACAACTTCAATTAAACATGTTAATATATATATCTTATTACACGTTTTGTTGTGTATCATTTTATCACTAAGTATTTTTACGAGTTGTGCCGTATTTTGACGAGCCCGCAAGGCGAGTCAAAATACAAAGAACGAGTAAAAATACTCAGTGATAAAATGATACACAACAAAACGTCTAATAAGAGATATATTATCCAACACGCCAAATTGTTATTTCAGTGCGGGCAAATTTCGCGGATATTTCTGGAGTATAAATATCGCGTGATATTTGTACTCGTCTCGCGCGTTATTTGTACTCTACGAGGCACAGTTGGATAATAAATTGAGTTATCTATGCTATAATCTGTGTACTGTTCATTTTCTGAGCTGAGTTTTATGGAAGAATAATTAAAATATTTGTTAAACATGATTAGTAAAAACAAGCAATTCTTGTCAACTTGTGATTGGAGAATGAAACACAAAGCTAAATGCAGTCCTACAATGCTTTTGACGTTCAACTCAAAATTGCTGAGCAGCATGAGGCAGTTATTGCACAGCTAGGTAATCCTCATAACTTGCATTACTATCTCTTTCTTACATTTCACAGAACGTGCTGGTGAATAGCATACTCAGTGGAGAGGTGAAATGCAGCAGTGAGCAGTTTTTAGGTTTGTGAGAATCTTTTTTTGAACATTAGGGGCCTCAAGGGTGTAGGAGAACTTTTAACAGGGGATGCTTCAACACCATGAGCAGATTCAGAAAGGGAAGGGATGGGAACCTGATACATCAGCCATCCCCACCCCTCCCTCCTTGGCAACACCCCTCAGCCCAAATGATCCGGCAACAAAACTGGTGGTTTTCCCGATTTTCATGACAAGGAATGAATGACTTGTGAGAGGAGTTTTGACTCTTTTTAAAAAGAACAATTGTCAACTTTCTTAACGTTGTGCTAAGTGTTACTCTTTTCTGTTTGGAATAAGAAATGTTCCACATTTATCAAATAGTGAATTTGAGTCAAGCCCTGTTCTTTAGGAACGCAACCATACCCTTCCCCCGGCGGTAATTTACACCGGTGAAGTTTCATTGGTTTGTTCACATCACATTTGTTGTTCTGCGCAGGATCGGAACTGTCGGAGAAGACCGTGAGAAGTAGAATTTCGGATGCTTTTGAAAAAGTTAGAGGTGTTAGCTTGGCAAGAGAAGAACTGCAAATGTTCAGGTATTGCTGGCTAATGTGGCAATGCTTCGGCTTGTGTTTTGTTGTTGTTGTTGTTTTGTTGTTTTTATTATTATTTCATGGAACATTAAAAGCCAATTTACACAACCCGCATATAGCATTAGCTAATCTTGGCGGGTATTAGTAATAAAAAAGTAAATACTATACATTGTAAGCTAAGGAGATTTCATTACTACTACAATATTACTGCAGTTATAAGCTATGCATTAGTTTACTACTTTATAAGCTAAAAGATACGTACAGTTGTCATACAAATTAAATACAATAGAATTACTAGTAAGTTAAACAAGACATAATAATCAAATACAAGCAGAGCAGACTGGAAAGTAGAGAGGAGAGAATTGTGACATACGGATGTGAGCGAAGTACTACAGTTATAATATTCGATAATCATTAGTATTGAATTTCAATATTAGTGAATGGGCGTCAACATAATAATCCTCAATCCCAAGTATAGTCAAAAGCAACTTATGAATTTTCCTTTTAAATGCTCTTTTCGTGAGCTTACGCAAATCAGGGTTTAGACAGTCCCATAACCTCGTACCAAACGCAGAGAAAGACTTAAATTTCACATGCAATCTAGGTTTCTGTACATAAAAATTCTCTTTGGAAGAGAAACGCGTATTATATATATGGACGTCAGATGAGTTAATAAAAAGTTCACGAATATTCCTTGGTGTAGAGCAAGTAGAAACATCATGCATTATGGCGGAAACGGTTTCAAAATAGAGCATATTAATAGGTAGGCTACTCGAAGTTATAAAGTGTGAATTTTAGAAGCTACGTTGGACTTTTTGGAATCATTTGTAATGTGCAATTTTTCCTTCTTTGTTCGAAGAAATGTATTTCAGAAGGGAACAGCATTGAAACCAGCTCAGTATTATCCTCTCGTCAAACAGGTTTGTTTGCATTTGTCTTGTTATTATTGTTTGTGATGCTTTCTGTCTTTTCCACTCTTATGGGGTTTCTGGACTGCATAGTTGTAGCTTTTAAGAGGCAATAAGTAAACGTAGGAACTGGTTGTTGTTTGTTGTGTGTAGTTTATCAAAATACCAGAAACCTATTGAAAAAATGCGTCACTGTCAGCTGTATTCCGATAGACGCCGTTGCTTGATGATTAATGCTCTGGATTCCAAATCGAAAGTTCAGAGTTTGAGTCTAGGGCGGGCCATTTTTTTTGTGTTTTTGTACGAGTACCGTGTCTTGTCCAAACACTGTTTAGACACTGTTTAGTACACGGTAGTCTTACAATTACCTCTCTCCACCCAGGAATATGAACGGCTACCATTAACCCTTGACACCCTAACATCAGTATGCAAGTTCTCTATACCGTTCTCTATACATTTCCTATGGTGCTCACAAGGATAATTTGTTAAACAATCAAGAGCTTCTTGAGTTCATGATAATTTTCTTTATTCTCATGACCTTATTATTTGATTTGGGGTTGATACTGTTTGGAGAAATTACAAGCTTATCACTCTCAGGACTTAAAGGGTTAAACCAACGGAAACATTGGTGAAGAGGGGTGGGGTGGGTGGAGTATAACCCGCGATAGATTGGCATGACCCATTACGGAGGAGTGGCAGGCTTTTTGCAGAGGAAACTGAGCCGGAATAACCCTCGGTGGCCATGAGAGTCACTTTTGCACGTCCGTGGACTATACCCCAGGTCCTCTTTGCAGAACACTGTTTCGTAACAAAGCCTTTTCAGTGAAGTTTGAGTTTTTGTGATTCAACTAAAGGAAACCATTCTGATATATGTGAATGTTTAAAATGGTCCATCTCTTTCAGATAATAGAAGGCATTTTTAGTCCTGAATCACCTGAACTACCCGATATCGAGTTCAAGTCACACGGCTTTAAGGATCTCATCAAAACAGGATTTAGGTAAAACAAAAGGGGACAGTTTGTTTGGCTGTCAGTTGTTTCCTCCGTGCGTTGCAAGTCATACAATCGTTGTGTAATCGTCGTCAATCGACTATTTCTTGTTTTATCGTTTGATTCAGTTTATTCATGAATGTGAGCAAGCCTCGTCCTAATGACCATCCTCTATTGGTTCTGTTCATCGTTGGGGGAATCACGTGTTCAGAGGTTCACCAAATAAGGGAAGCGTTTGCTGCGTATCATCCTAATACCCAGGTGAGAGCATTGTTGTTAGGGAGCAGATATTCTGCGTGTTTCCATGTGTTAAAACTAAGGTAATCAACATGGCTAGTATCCCCTTAAGCAGAAGGGGGCTCATACGGCTCAGACGTATCTTTATACCTCCGACGAGTTCTAGAACCTAATAAGAAACAAACCGAAAGTGTGCTTGAAACTGTGTACGGTGATTTAGGACAAGCATTACTCTTCTTTCACTCTTACGGAAATTTAATCTGAGAATTTTCTTGTCAGTGGCGGGCTGTAAGTAGGTCTCTCGACGCAACATTCTAATTCACGTTTGCTTGTATTCGTTTTAGCTTTTAATTGGTAGCACACGGCTTATGAAAGGCGAAGATTTGTTTGAGGAAGTTTTCCTCCAAGATAATCTGTTCCCAGCTCTTCATTGATGATTTTCATGAGGTGTGGCGAGATTTAGTCGTAATACACATCTGGCTTGTGATGCCAATGTCAAGTTATCCAAGTCGTCGTGACAGACTTGCTAGAGAACACTACATACGCGTGAGAAATAGCGGGTGGTCAGTTGCTTTTAACAAAACAAGAGATAAACTGTAAATTGAACAGCTGAATAGACAGCACGCGTAACTCCCGTACTCCCGTAATGATATTACGGTGGTGAAGGATTCCATGAAACTTTTTTTATGCCACTTGAAGATTGGACGAAAATATCTTCCTAATCTTTTAGTAGAGGCTTGAGAAAAGTACGAACTTCAGATCAAGTACAAGAGACTTGTAAAGGACCAAAAGCCCAACTCGGTGCAAAGCGAAAAAAAAATTGATTTTATTTAAATTTTGAACAAGTGCACAGAGGATGCATAGAAATTACAGTAATGGAAACGACAGCCGCAGAGCTTCTAAAAAATATGCTATGATATTTCCTATCCTTTGAGAGCTTTTATTGTATCGAGATGAAACAACTGATATGCTCCTAAGAACAGCCTTTTAAAGTCTTTTAAGGGTGGACCGTTTGTTGCATGGGTGCCCGGTGTGGTTCGTTAACTCTATGTTACCACTGACACAGAGCATCGATAGTTACAAGATGTCCTACTCAAATATGAAGCGGATTTGTAGTACTTTTGCGACCGAGAGCTAAGCCTTTTAAAATGATCTTTTTCTTAAATCTGATTTATAAACGATGGCCTCAGTATAGAGTTGTTTACGGCGGGTTTTTAAAATAAACCTTAAGGTCAAAGTCGAGCAGTAGTTACCTTCCTAAGCCACTGATCATGTTTCCAAACCTATATCCATTTCCCATGGCTTTGTCATGTTCGAGAGTTTCCCATAACCTTTGAGGTGAGTTAAAAAGATACACAATCACGTCTTAGTCTTTCCCAACCTTCTGATTGGTTTATATCAACTGATCACATTTGCTTGATTGCTCTCAAGTCTCAGTGCTGAGTGCCTTTTTCAATTTACAGTATCTCGTTACGAGCTCCTGTGGTCCAGATAGCAAAGTTCACAATAAGGGTCTGTCATTATAGGAAAACTAAGCCAAATCTTGTTTTTGAAGTGATGACGAAGATCAAGAGTTGTTGCTGGATAGTTAAGGTAGCTTACAACACTTCAGGATTACCCTCCAACAGTAGTGATTTCCGTAATATTACTGTCATTGGTACTTCTTCGGGAGCTTGGTTTTCTAGCCAGCATTGGGGGGAGGGGGAGGGGGAGGGGCAAACGGGGAATTAGGGAGAGGGGGAGGGTCAAACTGGGAGGAAGGGTGATAGTCTTACAGAGGGGCGTGAATGAAGTTTGATCGTCTGGGTTGTTATAAGAAGTGGTTCTTTAAAAAAGGTTCGATGTGCACAGAATCGTCGTGATAAACACTTTGCTTATGAAGCTGATAAGTTATTTGTTGTCAGGGTTACGGCCAGAGAAGTATTATAGATTGTGAATATTTGGTTTAAACATTTCTGTCGCTCCGCTAATCACGCTTTTTCTTGGTCACTCGGCTAGTCAGTTTCCATTTCTCATCTCAAGTCAATCATATCGGTGTATTCTTTTGAATTATGGAATCAAACTTGTAACTGATTTTGGTTTAATTTCGGTATTTTTCCGCCCTCGGACACACTCTTGAACAAAGAGACTGATCCATGATCCTACCAACGGACGTATTGCGTGATATCTAAATGCTCTACAAAGGATTGCATAACAGAAAACTGTCGTTCTGACGAATACCTCCAGTCAAATAAGCTAAGTATTAACAGGTGAACAATTTCTTTGACCATGCTCTGTGCAACTATCTTTTTGCGTCACGTCCGTCCATGATTCTTCACTTTCCGCTTTGCCCCAAAAAAGTGTTCTTTTTAAAATCGATATCCTCAGTTAAATCTTATCCGTAAGGATCTTTTGTTGTCTGTTGTTATTCAGCGCGGGACTGTGATGATTGTCAGAACCCAGGCTCTTTTAGGGTCAGCGTAACAGATTTCATCAGTATATCGCGGAAGTATATAAGCAGCTTTCGTCGTATTTGTGTTGCAGACACCTGCAAGGAGACCACCCTGGCATGAAGAACAGAAATCAAGGGAAGTTTTCTTTTTAACGTGAAACCACACGATCCTCATCGTTCACTGTCGCTTTTCGTGCAGATAAATGAAATTACGGGAATTCGAGAAAGGTAAAAAAAACCTGATCCCGCACTTCATGTTTAGCGTGATTTACTTAACATCGGTTCAAGAAAATTAAAGGGAATTATAAAACTCAACATAATCGCTTTGTGACGATGAGAAATTCAGCCATTTTAGAAACAAGGAATGGAAATTTAGGACAATACATTAAACTGGAAAGGCTAGTCGGGAATATGCACAAAAACATTATTTGTAACATACTTAAGGCCACGTTAAGTGAAATGTCAGTTGTAAAGCATTTTTCGTAACTTTATAGTTCGGTATCTTTGAACATATGGGTTCTTATCTTAAGTTATGTCTGTGAAAGTCGTCAAAACTTACTTAGATAACCAGCTTTTCGTGATTCTTCTTCTAAGAGAGACTGAAAGCGGTAAGAATAGAGGAAATTGCGAAAACACAAAACCATATCACTCCGCTCTCCTTAGACACCCTTTCCCGTGAATCAATCACGAAAAGCACATGTCCCTTTGTTTGTTGCACAAGCGTATTTACGGTAAACGAATCTTAGAGTTAATTAATTTAAGAATTTAAGGCTTTCTTTTATAAGCGAACAATGCCTTGGATATTAAAGAAAAAGAAGCGCGGAAGAAAATGATTTAAATACAAGGAGAGGCGGGATGATGTGAAGGAAATACATCTCAAAGAGGCTTGTGACGTCACAAGGCAACAATGCTCTTCCGTTTGAGTGTTTTTGGCAGTTGAAGTACATTTTCTCACATCCTGTGTGGTGTGGTGTGGCGATCAGGAACGGCGATTTCGAGTAATTTCTTCCATAACAAAAGATTATTATAAGACGTGTGAAGACAGCTTGAGGTCAGGAATTGAAGCACGCTTTGCAGAGGAAGAAGAATGGAAAGAGCTTCGCTTGACAAGGTCCGCCTGAAAGGTTTGTGGGAAAACATTGTGGTTACTAATTCGGGGCGTCGTGTTTAATTTGGCTGGATTCTGCGTGGGTTTGATCGTAACGTTAGTGTGATTCTTTAAACGTGGAATTCTTCTGTCCCTTGCACGTGCATTTAGTGTTTGAGACCTAATGCGGTTGAATAACTGCCATGGTCTAACAACGTAGAGTTCAGTTTAAATTCTCGACCCTGTGCCGGCTCCACACCATGACTTCACATAAGTGAACTAAACACAGCCGACCAGTCATATTGAACGATATTGTCAGAGTATTCGTTTGGCTGTTCTTGTAGTGAAAATACATCGCAATAGTTTTTCATTTAAAACTTTGCCGAAGGCTTATATGTAAGCTTATTTAGAACTTAGCTCGATCGAAATGCTACTGCGAAAATAGACTCCGTCGAGACTCGTCGGCGCTTCCAGGTCCTTCTCTGATTGTATAACGATAAGCACGGTCGTAGACTATCTCTTCAACAGCATATTCTCTTCTCTGTTTGAAAAAAAAATTAAACATGTTATTACAGTCTTTTGATTTATCGAGGGGCAGGCGAAAATAGCAATTTTGCAGTCGTATTCAACGGAAGGAGGTGCTTCTGTTTGCCAAAGGGGTCGGTTAAATTTAGAAAATTATATTGGCCATACAGCTGTAAGCTGCCTTAGACACAGCTCATTGATAAATCACGCAATTCTCTTAAATTCTCAGCGTCCGGTTTCATTTTTAATCCTTATTGATGCATTTTTTGAGTATAAAGATTTGTGAAGTACAGACAAAAGCTATAATTACGTTTGTCGATAGTAGTTCGTTATCACGTCGGAATCACGCCTTCTAACGGAAGATGGCCCATTCGGGAATTGTAACATTTCCTTTCTCATTTAGCTGTTAATCAGAAAACCGAATGTTTGAAGGATCTGATAGCATTGGTTAACCAAACCTAGCGATTAAATACTCAATGCGTTGTATATTTACAACACTACGCAGTTTTTCTTTTTTGTCATAACGTTAGCTGTAATAAACAAATGCGTCTTTATGTTGGCCAGTGCGTAGCTTTTGGTGTCAAACGGATTTCTTTTCTCGTTTATGAGTCAAAATCGACATTTTTCCTCTATCACATCGAAGTTATCATGCGATTTTTAAACATTGCGGTTTTAGGCTTGACGACTTTTCGGAGATATTTGATATGCTGGCGTTCTTTTATGTAAATTTTACTGTAGTATTGCTACAAGATCATTCCACCTTCGGAGAGGGTGCACGTCGTCTTTTGTGACGTTAGAAAGGGTGTCATGCAGAGATGCATGTTAAAATACTGCGCACGTTGAGAAACTTGAATAGATCAACGGAAAAGCACCTTGTGAGGTAGAGTTCGTTTTTTTTTCTCGTTCTTCTTTTTTATGTAAATTCTTACAGGATTGTTTTGAAAACAAGTTTTCCAACTCTAAGTTCAACTGAATTGGTTGGCAATTCCATGAATATATTTTTTAAAATTATCTCATCTTGAGAAAAGTTCAAGTCTTATGACAAATATCATCTGTATAGATTGTGAAAGCAACATCATGCAAATATTATTAAGGAGAAGGAACATGTTGCTTGACTGCTAACCCTCTATAGAAGGAATGAAGAAACTATTTTTGTTTAATCCACCCTGTGATGGGATAAGGCAAACAGTGTCACAACCGCTTGGCGCTAATTTTTCACTAATTTTGCTTTACCAATACAGGTAATTTTTCAATAGGCATTTATATTTTACAGGAAAGGGAATTGTGCTATGATTTATGGTAGGTGAGCTGTCTGCTGTGATAAATGCTTCCCAAACTGATAAATACTGTATTAAGGCCTGCTAGATTCATGACAATAAATTATGCATTGCTCATTTGGTAATGCAAACAGTCAAGACATTACACATAGATGTAAATACAAGGGGATTATGGCAACAGAGACAAAGAGAAAATGAGAGCACTTTTATTCATGAATGTGTCAATGATAGACTTAAAGATGATAGATGCATGCAATTTGCCATGGTTAGAGAGACTCACACTGGTAGACTTGTAGATTCTGGTGGTGCTCAGGGGATTTGAACTTCTTTCACAAATGGCATTTAATATGTAAAGAGGGTAGTTTATTTTTGCAAATATTGTTGAAGCAACTGAATAAATAAAGAGATCAAATCTTTTGAGAGGTATGTTAATGGTATATCTTGTAAAGACCTTGATTTCTTGGTAAAGTATTTAAGATGTTTTAACTATGGTAAAAGTCAGTTGCCAATTTGAACCACATCATGCTAGCGCTATTCTGCACTTAAAATGTAGTGGCATCATTTTTTCACAAACTTTACTTTTTCCATCTTCAGCAGCTGACTTTTTAATTTTGTTCAAGAGGTCGAGCAAACAACAAAGAACAAACAGACTGTTCTTCATGCCAAATTAGGCAAATTCCCAGAGAATCTTTGTTTTTAATAATCTGCACAAACTAAATGCATTAGGTTTTGGTAATTTAATTTGTAAACAATCTTACTGGTTTGATCCTGCAGCATAGTACTTAATTTAAGCCAGTCTGATAACCTTGAACTTGTGCATTTGCTTGCGTACACGACTGTACATTCATTGTCAGTGGCAATCTGGTTAACAACATTAACATGCCCTTTTCTTAGAATAACTTGGAACTTTTTTTTATATATAGCCTCAAGACAGGGAAATATGGAAAAGTGGACATGATTATAGAGTAGTAGTTGATTATGGTGTTCTCTAACAAAATGTAGGTTGAGTTTTGAGGAGGTTGTTTTGCTTAAACCTCTGAATCTTTACACTTAGGTAACATCTGCAAAACTATATAATCTGCTTATGCTAATACATTTTTCAAGCTTAAACCAGTGAATTGATGGAAGAAATCCTTTACTGCTTGGTAAATCCAGTCAAAGCATTTACTAAAATAGTGCCTGTTGAAACCATCTCAAATTGAGGAAACAAGTACAGATCTTTACTTTGTCTCAGAACATGGAAAATAGCATTCTCTAGGTATGTAAACAATGTATTTATGGGAAAATGGACTTCCTCAGTAAAATTACACTTACACTTCTCTTGCATACAATTCTGGATATGTCGCAGCAAACATGACTAATGTGCCTAATAATAACTTTCTAAGGATTGGTTCAATTTACAAGCTTGGTTATAGTGCTGGTATTTTCTTACAAGTGACTGCAGAGATATCATTTTGCAAGGCCCACGCAATACTGCAACATTTAGCATTTCATTCCAATTGAAATGTGATAGAGGGGTGGACAAAGAGTTACATTATGTAGCGTAATCTCAGAGAGGAAATTTTTGTGGGCATCAAGAATTTAAGGTGACAAAGGGTTTTGCTGTTAATACACACCTTGCTGGTCCAAATCTTATTACTATATGTTGATCATAATTAAAAGGATTACATCCATGAATTTCTTCTCAAAATAATGCAGTTGGTGACTAATTAATGTTAACTACACTGTTAACATTGTTTCTTTAGAATCTCATTAGGAATTCCTGCTAGGAGTAGTAAAATTGCCAGTTCTTGTGGACTTCAAACATGAGTGAATTTGTGCTGTAACAAATATGTTTTGCAGCTTGATAAAGCTTCAAGTATGTGTTCTCCTCTTGATTAGTTGAAAATGGTTTAAATTAATAGGATGTTGCACTAATCAAATGATCTGAACCATGGGGTGATAATTTCTATGAATTTTTGGTATGTCTTTGGGTTTCCTTTTTCACTTCAGACAATATTTCAGGAAGTGCTCTGTTTAAAATCCATTTTTTGCGGAACAATTGGGAAAGTTGGTAACATTTCAGTCCATTTTAAGTCATATGGGTGAATTTAAAGTCAAACCACAAGGGTTAGCCTTGCAATGTTTGGTTTGATGTGGAAATTGTCTTAAATTGTCAACCAGTTGTCAACTCCAACTTTTTTTGCATCAAGGATTTATGATAAAATGACAGACTGACATTAAAAGGGAGTATAGTCATGGGACAGTCAAGAACAAAGCAAATAATGCTTGAAATATTACAGATTTCTTTGGACATTGGTACTAATTGAGATCACTGTAACTGGAGCCACAGTTTGCATTTAACAAAATACATGTATGGAGCATCATGGTTATTTTGTGGTAGTATGAAAAATTCATAAATTTGGATATTTTATTCAAAAGAAGTATATATATATATATATATATTCAGTAATTTGTTTGTTTAGTTATTAATTATACCTTTTTGTGTTGTCTGGTATCCACTACAAAGCCAACTACCCATGCTAAACTAGCATTTCATCTTCTTATAAATTTAAAAATCATCTGTGTGTTTCTTGTCTAGAGAATTTATGATGCTCCTTGTACAATAAACAGTGTAAGGCTATGATTTCTATTCTGACCCATTTTCCATGTAGGGTAGCAGCTAGTGACTAGCTTTTATCTTTTTCATGCTGGTGTGATGAAAGAGTTATTCAAATTGTTTCAAGTTTGTGTTTATACATGAAGACGTTTAGTATTCATGTCATGCATATAATGAAGCAATTACACTGTATTTTTATTATGTAAATGGCATTTTATGAATTCCTCCAGTTGATCATTGTCACTGTTTGTTTAATGAAGCATTTGTGGCAGTAATTTAGTTTCGAATGTTAACAGACAAAACTAGTTTGCAATTGCAGTGAGCTTCCTCCCCAACTCGGTTTTGAAGACATATTTTGTGTAAGCTTTGGTTTGAAGTTATTTGCTTTGTTTGGTAAGAAAAAACTTTTAGAACTCCTGTTGTTGTATGTGGTCTAGTAGTTGCGATTATTATCTCAACTGTAAGATAATATTTCACCTCTCTTAATTAATTTCACTGCTTCAGTAGAGGGTGTGATTATGAAATTGTTGAAACTAAGACATCTTTATGTGTTACACAACCTACTGTGCTTTGTCCTAAAGGATTTTGATCCAGTGTGTATTTTAGGACATGTGTTTAGCATTATTTGAATTGTACAAGGGAGGCATGTTTGAATACTGACCATCTTTGTTAGTTGGATCCTTTCATCCCATTATTTGTGGACAAATAGACATGTATATATTATATATTTGTGAGATGTTTTGGCATCTCCTTACATCTGCATGTATCCTCATCAGATGAGGACAGGGCAACCTTTTGTACATGCTGTTGACTTGAAGTTCAACAATTAGTTTAATAGCAGTGGCTTTAGGAGCCTCTTCTGAGAAGTTCTAGAGCATTCAAAGCAATTGAGACTTTGCGCCGATCCTTATCACAGGTTGAGAACAAGTTTGGGTTTATTACTGATGGAAACATTTGACATTATTTCAGTTGTAAAGTATTTTCAAGTGAACTGCCAATAGTCATTAAGCATTCTTTTGCCTGTCACTAAGATGTGGATTTCAAAGCAACTTAAAGGGTTTTGCTCTGAATTTCAATGACACTTACATGTATGTGTAATTTGTTTCTTGATGTCACAAAGTCTGCCGTGTGCAGCTGTAACCTTTGTGAACTTTGTCTCTGAAATCACATTCCCAGTGTCTTTGCTGGAAGTCAGGCTTTTCCTTCTGAGATGTTTATCACTTAACTTACTATTGATCTTGTAAAACTGATGAAACTTACTGTAATTAATTTGTGATCAGGATTAGAACTCAGACAAGTTAGTAAGAAAAATAAGTGAGGTGGTGCTGGGGTTAAAAAACTTATTTTTTAAACTGTTGAAGGTGTTTTTTGATCATGATTTTAATACCCTATATACCCTACATTTTAATGTCAAGCAAACATTGCTGATGCCTCTACACAGTGTCCACTGACAGAAATTTCTTGTCTTTATTTCAGTTCTCAGCTTGAAACACCTCAAGCAATTGTGACACCATTATGGGAATGAGGCTAGGTTTTTGACATGAGTGGCAAAGAAAAAACAGGAGTAGTTCACCGACCTAATCGTGGAAGAAGTGCACCTGATAGCAAAAGTAAAACAGATTCTGGGTGTTTTGTGGATGATGAAATTGAAAGAAATGGTAGCAGTGACAGTTCGCATGGATCCATAAGCTCCCCACCAGTGAAGGAAAAAGCTCCAAAAAAGTGTAAAGCAGCAAATAAAGAAAGTCTGGCAAATACTGATACTGCATCTTCTGTGTCAATTGGTACTGAAACAAATTGTGCAAGTAGCCATGTGGCCGGCAAAGAAAATGTCATGAATGGAGAGGTAATCACAAATGGGGAAAATGAAACTCTAGTTACAGAAAGTGTGAATGGAGTTTGTGATGTTCTGGAGAAAACCAGACGAGCCAGTGATTTTTACTGCCTTTACTACAGTGAGTCTCCAGAAGGTACCTTGACAACAAGTGAAGTTGTTAAATTGAGAAGAAAACCACCTGTTCCTCCCAAGCCTAAGTTAAGACGGGGCAGTGCTCCCCCTTCAAGTTTCAATCACATTGATAGACTTGTTACTGAAAATAAAGACCTCACCAAGCGTTTCTCCTATAATGAAAGCCTAGGCGAGTACAAAGTTGTCAATGGAGAACATGAGGAAGGCCAGGAACATGCAAAATTGAACTCTGTTGAATCACGTGTTCACTTTTTTGAAGCAATTGCTAGAGATGAATCAATTGGAGGCACTGTTTTAAAAACTGTACAGACTACAAGTGTCAAAGACTCCTCTTATGTTTGTGGAAGCAAAGATTTTTCCTTTGAAAGTTGCAGTGATTCACACCCAGTTCTTAGCTGTCATGACCAAGTTGAAAATATTGTGCCACCAGCAGACAATGAGACATTTTCCTTGGAAAGTGACAAAGATTATTCTGAATCTTTTCATGCACATGTAGAAGCTGTACATTCACCACAGCAGTTTGTGCCTCTTGTTGAAGAAGAAGAATTTGCTATTGATGGTAGCAGTTGTTTCCAGTCCTCTGTGAACTCTTCTCTTGCCAGTGAAAAATTCTATGACAGTAGCATTGAGAATGAAAAAGCAAGGCTTGAATGTGTCAGTGAAGATGAAGAAGTTGACATTCAAGGCAAGTTTGTTCCTGATGTAGGTCAAGATGGCGACAACGTTGCTGCTCATGAAATTAACCATTCCTTCTTAGCAACAGCAGCCTCAATACCTGAACAAAATGTTATGGAAAGTTGTAAAGCAAGGGGAAGTGGTCTTTTGACAACCAAGGCATCTGGCAATGATGTTCAATTCAGTGACAGTTTTTTGCCTTTGCATGATTTTGTGCAGATTGAACAACCAAGAACAGTTTCATGTGAAAAACTATTAAATCCACAAGTGAATGAACTCAAACAGAAATTGGTGATTCGGTCAAGGTCATGTGATAGGATGAAAGCACAAAGACGTCCAGGGTCAGTTGCTGGTTTACCAAACTGGGAAAAAGGTTACACTACATCTGAGTTGAAAAGGAGATCATGGTCATTCAGTGAGCCAAGTCCTGTTGATGTTGACTCTCCTTTTGTGCGCAGAATTTACCAAGTTCCTGCACCCAAACTGACCACGTCATCATGGTGTTCAGAGAGTGGTCTTTCATACCCATTTGTTAACTCTGTTCAGGAACCATTGCAGAGCACTTCAACTAGAAGAAACATTTTGCGAGGAAAATTTGGGGAGGGTGATCGCTATACAGCAAGTGCATCAAACCTGGAGTATTCAGGTTACACCTCTGATGAAAGGAGTGTTCATTCGGAACCTTTATTTCAGCCATTGAAGTGTCGACCACAAGATCTTCGTAGGGGCCACATTCCTAAAAGTATGTCACTTGATTCCAGTATTTGTCTCACAGACAATGAAAGCTCCACTTTCCCCAGGGTGCAACGAAGGAGAGCAAGACATTCCTTGGGGAGTCAAGATCCTATTAATGCACTGAAGAGACAATCTGTTGAGTTTGCCACCAATGAACAGCCACCTTTATTTCGACCCGTTAGTCCTGCTCAGGTGCCACATCTAGAGATCCTGCGACGGGCTTCATCTTACACAAGCTCTTCAAGTGATTCAGAAGTTGAGAAAATCTTCAAGCCACCAAACTTTTGTACACAGGGTTACCAATATCCCACTAATGGCACTGTTCATAATGGTTTAGTCAATGCAGTGACTCATCGCAAGGTCAGTGCAATGGAGGCTCTGTTCGGCCCTCAGTCTTTAAGAAATGGACATAGCTCAGATTCTGAGGTTTTTAGAAGAAAAACTCTCTCTGAAAGGTTTTCTGAAGTTTCACAAACACCACCGTCAGAAGGGATGTTTATCTCTGAACAACTTCAGGAAGAAGAACTTGGGGGACTAAAGGAGGGTGGAGAACCAGGACTTGAGTTTGATGACACAGATTACAGTGAGTTTTATACTCGTTGTGAAGACAAAGATAGCTTAATTTCAGCTGAAGCACTGAGCATAAAAAAGCTTTTACAGTCTCCACAGACAGTGTTACCTGATCCTGATATTGAATCTGTGGTGTTGTCTGTCACTGAGAGGAAGTCATCAAAGTCAACTTCAGAAAACAAGGAACCTCGTGAGATTCAGACTGGATTATGTGAAAATGACACAGCTTGTGTTAATGGAACTGTTTCTGAACATGAAACAGTAGAACAATTCTATAGAAGACATAGGGGTACTCAAACGCCACCCCCAGCTGTCTTCAAAGCATTGAATCCACCACCTTCAGTGGCAACTCAAACTCCTCCAGTGAATTTTCAACAAGAGCTACCTTCTTCGCTGTTAAAAGAGCTAGAATTGCAGATCAAGACACCAACAATAAAGAGAGTGTCTCCCACACCATCAGAGTCACAGGAACAGAATTTGTCCCTGCTGGGCCAATTCCAGTCTATTGGATCATCCTCTGCTGGTGTTAGCAACACAGAAATGCTATCACCACCTCCTCAGGAGAGTGATAAAGCTGTCTCTGTTGAAGAGCTTCTACAGATCTTAGCTGGTATGCAAGTAGGCACTCCAAAAGAGACAGTACCTCGCAGACCTGTTTCTGTACAGAATTATAGTTGTCCATCTCCTCAAAATGACAATACATCAGAAAGACCTAACAAAACTCCAAAGAGTTTACCAAGCAGCTGGCAACATTTAAGTCGGCCCACTGGCAAACAGAATGACAATGATGGCTTCAAGAAACCTGATCGTATTCCACCAAGGTCTTCTAAGAGCTATGATTGCTTGAGGCGTGGTCATTCTGCTAGAGAGAGGCGTGCCAATGTGATTACAGAAAAGACTCTGAGACGTTCTGAAAGCAGTGAAAATATCCGTAAAAGCCTCAGAGAATGGAAACTAAGAGCACGAGTTTTTGAAGAGGAGGTGGAATGTCTGGAGAACAGGGACGATAAATTCAAGAAATTGAAATGCAAGGAAGAAAAAGTTTTGAAAGTTTCTTTCAATGGGAGTGAATCAACAGATAGCATTGAAACACAGAGCAAGTTGACTAACACTCACAGCCTAAAAAGGCCACGCAAGGACAGGGCTTTTTCTCAAAAGGAGAAAAGTCAAGCCGACAGTCGCAGCCTTGATGCAAAACAAAGTCTTTCAGCTCAAAATACAAAGCAGGACAAGGTCACAGGAATGGAGGCGGAACTCAGTGACATTGATGTAAAAGAATCAAACAGTGACCATGGAGGAGACTCAGGAATTTTAGAAGTAGCCTCACCAGCTGAGGGCTTTCAGAACAGAAACCAAGGAACACTTTGCCATGAAGTAGCTAGTCCTGAAGGTATTGACGTGTTCATTGACTATAGGAAAAAGCATGGAATGCACATCACAAGTACACCAAAACCCACACCGAACTCTGAACAAAAAGGGGAAGTAGGTGGAAAAATAAATTTTGATGAACTTGATGATGCACAACCAGAAAAACCAGTCATCACCACCACAAAGGAAGATAAGCATGCCATTAGTGATGTGGAATCTCAAGGGGATGCTTCATCATCATCATATTCATCAGATGATGATCGCTTTGGAGAATTTGGGGGCAGCACAGAAACAGTGGTCTTTGTTGACACTGAACCTTGCCCAGGGATGTCATTGGTGGGAACTGATCTAGAGACTCTTGATCTTGATCTTGTTGGTCCAAGTGACAAACTTTTATCTGTCAATGATAATAGTAAGGAGAAGGATGAATCTCACCTAGATGCTCTCTTAGGAGAAGCGCGCAGATCTCTGAATTTGGAATTCATGGACTCTGATATCTTGGATAAAGCAATTGACAGGTTTAAGAAGCGGGTTTCTCCAAGCACTCAAAACAAGGTTAGTAACACAAGACTGCATTTTATCATATCTGTTTTATATATCTTTTAATTTTTTACTACCTTGTGTAATATCAGGTTATTCATGCATACCTAAAAACCACAGGATAATCAAATTTACCCATTAAGTTTATTTTTTGTTAAATAATTGTGATTTAGTGGTCAAGCTTAGCAATTAAACTTGTGTCCAAGCGTCTTTGATTAGGAAATGTGCAGCATTATTTAAGTGTTTTAATGGCAACCAAATCTGTAGGAAAGCTGGTTTAGATTGGACCACATTTTGTACCAAACATTTTATGGCATTTCTGAGTTAACCCATTAATGGCCACAGCTTCTGTGGAAAACTGTGTTTTGAAGCTAGTCGAGCAGATTTCGGGTCACTGTTGTGGTTTTAAATGCTCAAACTTACCAAAAAC